ATGATAATGGTTTTATTTATTATTTTATGTGCATTGCTAGTATATGCAAAGTTTTATAGCTTGCTATAAATCCGGAGGGATTATCACAGCTGTTACTTATTTTAACAGGTCACAATACAGTAGTTTATGCCAGATGGTTTGGAGAATTTGGAGGGAGAAAAATCTATTCAGGCAGCCATATAGATACTAACTTCAGTATTCGTGCTCTAAAATTAATTTGCATTTGTTGTGATAAGGGCTGAGGATAAAGATCAGTGGTAGAGCACTTGACTTGCATGTATGAGGCCCAGGGACATTTGTTGTTGTGTAAAATTTATATTAATAAACAACAGTTCTTTATGAACAGGTGATCGATTTTTATATTTTGGTGATCTATTGTGAGTGGGGTGGGATAGTAGCAGTTCCAATGGCTGCAATTAGAATAGATGAGAAGGAAAATTTAGCCTCATCCATATCAAGGGAGGAGACTTCCAATAGCTCCAGGGAGATAAGACTAGGAGGCAAGACTGAGTATCCATTTTGAGTCTTAGTACATTTTAGAGCCAAAGAGAATAAGGCTGGGAAGTAGCTCTAAGCAAGCACAAAGTGCAGATAGATGTGCTGGGAAGGGAGTAGAGCTGGAGTTGGGATCCTTGTGGTCATCAACAAGGTCAGCTTGGAATAAAATGTTCACCCAGATATGAACATGTTTCTACCTTCACAGACACTGATGTTTATGGGTATAGTTGTCAATTATGAGTGCTCAGCAGAAATGGGGAGAATAAATAAATACTGTCAATTGGAAACTACTTTGGAAGGTATTTTGGTCTCCAGGTCTCATAGACAAATAGAATGAAAGTCCTAGCAGAGACCTGGTAGGTGATATCTACCCTTCTGTTTATTTTTTTGTTGGGGGGGGGTCGGGGAGAAGCAGAGGATCTTTAAATTGGATCTTTTCTTTCAACAACAACCTAACCCTGAAAATTAGACTGCTGTGGTACTTAGACTCCCTTGGCCTTCTCTGCTCTCCCTTTCCTTGGTCAGGCCTCACTGATTCCTCTTCAGATTTCCATTTCGTGCTGGGAAAAGACCATAGTCTCATTGTTCAATATAATTCCAACTCTAGGTCTAACACATGACTGAATTTTCTTGGTAAATTTTCCGTAAATACAAGGATAATATACCACCTCTAGAACTAGATTAAATTATATAGCATTTTACAGTCCATTTTCCCAGCTCCTGCGAAATAGGTGCCAACTAAGATCTGTTGGCATCAACGAAATACTCAATTAAGCAGAAATGGTGAATTTTGAAAATGGGTACTTCAACATGTGGAGAGAGGCCGTATTTCAAAATTCAAGGAGTCCATGAATGTTAAGGGATAGGAGTAGAGCCTGCACTGGGGAATACCCCAACTTATCTGGAAGAAGAATAAAGCTTTGAAAATGCATAGGCTGGACAATACAGAATTGCCTGTTCTTCTCACAGCTGCTGAGCTTCCAATGACTTTAGCTTTCTGGAACACAGCCCTAAGCCTAGAAATAAGCGAAAGCTTACCAAGAAGGATATTTTGCAAGTATGTAAAGAGTTGTCAGCAAGCCTATGCATTTCATCCTGAAGGCTCTTGCTCAGACAATTGGTTTTTTAGTGGACAGATGTCACCCAGCTATGGGTATGTTTTGGAGCCAAAGAGATTAAAGCCAGAAAGTAGCTCCAGGTAAACATAAGGAGGGGGTATGTGTGGTGGGGAGAGAGGTGAACTGGGCCCACTGTGGATTCCAACTATAGGGAAGGAGCTAGAAAGAGGGTGAGAGGAATGAGAGCCGAGAACTAAATATCAAAGAATGAGCTTGGAAATCCAAAAAGTGTCTTAGAAATGTGTTACCATAGAGACCAATAATAAGCCTTCTTAATAAAGACCCTAAGTAATCAGCAAAGCATTAAATTGTGTTTTCTATCGTCTGATTAAAGTGATAGGAAAATGAATTACTCAAGGTAGGCAAATTCTGGAATAAAATCTCCAACATTTCAGTGGCTTATTTTTCACTTATCTAAGTCTAATGCAGATTATTGTATAGTCATTTGAGGAGCCATCTTGGGGCTCCACCACCCCCATGGAGCCTCTCTTCAGTCAGCAATCAGAGAAGAATATAGTAGGGAATGGGTAGGAGTTTTATGGGTGGTGCCTGGAGACACACATCACTTTTTACCAGCGTTCCTTTGGTCAGTTCCTCTTTTGTTTCTAACCTCATGCTGGAAAAAGGACTATACCTCACCTAGGATTAACAACACCAATGAAAAAGAAGAATTGTTTATGAGCCACACTGTCAATCAGAAATTAAAAAACTGGAGCCCAGAGCTAAATCCCACTTACTAGGGAGTTTTGTGAAAAAACACAAACATTTATTGGACTATGCATTCTTTTTTACTGCTTTTGAGCTACCACAACAGACAAAAGTGGTTATAAAAGAGACCACATGACTTGCAATGCCTAAAATACTTTCTGTCTGGCCCTTTTCAGATAAAACTTGCTGTAGATCCTCAGTAGTCTAAGGAAGGATATACATGTGATTCTTTCTCCTGAGACCTGGTATCCAATAAAAATAAGCATGAAATCCACATGGACTTAGTTATAAACTTAATCCTTAGAATGTTAGCTCCAAAGGGTATCGGTGTCTGCTCTGTCACTTCTAGCAGCCAGCACAATACCTGACAGTAAGTGCTTCCATTTGAAACACTGAGCCATAGAAAACTTCAAGTTCCCTAGCCACAGCACAGGTCGTCAGAACCCCCCCCCCCAGGGGAAACATATACAGTATGAGTACTGTGTGTGAAGATCTTAAACACATGAAGGCTCTACCTTCACCGAGCTTTTGTTATATGTCAGGTACCAACATTGTGCCTTATAACGTATTTACTCTCTTAGCAACGTAGATATTCTTATGTTCATTTCACAAGCAAAACAAATGTTGGAGTTCAAGAATGTTACCAAAGCACACTTGCTAATGGGTATGGAAGCTAGGATTCTTTCTGAGAATCTGTTTTTTTTTTTGTTTGTTTGTTTGTTTTGGTTTGGTTTTTTTTGGGGGAGGCTGAAGAAAAAAAAGTTTCCGGCCTTTCTGAGTTCAAAGCTTGTATTTGCTTTCTTTACTCTGTAGGACTTTCTTAAACCCTGTTCATATTTAAATAATCTGGTCATAGTAATTCTATCACCACTATTAAGAACCTCCTAATTATTGGATATTATAATATGAAGGGACAAATAATTGGCTATTTTCATCCCCGTTTATAGTTCTGTACTCCCCATTGTCAAGGTTCCCCCTTGATGGAGCAGCTCTGAAAACCTAGAGCAAGTAGTTCATCCACTTGAACTGTGTGATCAGTGACTTGGCCATCAGTTACTTGCAGTCTCATCCAGGATTTCTATGGGGGGTAGCCATTATGTTCACCCTTACACAAATCCTCTTCTTAATGCCTGGGAAGTTGGAGCTCACCTATGATGGAGCCTCATTCCCACTGAAGTTGGTTTGAGGGCTTGCTATCATGAAGATAGATGGCCACTGAGCCTAGTCTTCAGTGTGATGCAGCAAGTCTGGGTGTGGGCTTGTGGGTATCATTTCTGACATCCCTGCTCCCCACTGGTTGATTTTGCTGCTGTTGCTGATCCTTCAAGTAGAAGAGCTAAAGAAAAAAAATCCTTGTGTTTTTTTCTTTCCATCCCAACCCTTCTATTTCTTCTCCAAGATTTTCCTAGAGCTTCCCAGATCCTGATCTTTCCTCTCATCATTAATATTTCTGTGACATATGGCATTGCCATTCTAGATCACACTATACTTCTGCAACTCTGTCATTTCCTAGCTTCTGATGTGGGACCTGTCCCCATCTTACTTTCTGTTTCTCTGACTTATCTGTCTCTTCTTCACTTGTCACCTCTTCCTTTGCTACTCACCCTTTAAACTTTAGGGTTCATGTCTCACTGGGAAAATGGCTACACCATCTCGTTCCCTTATCTTTCTTGTTGTGGACACACTGTCTTCCATGGGAACTCCTGCCAGATTTCCTGCCCTTGCTGGCTGCTGGAGGCCCTCCAAGCCTTTTGGCATGAGCAGGGTTGGAGGAATGCTGCCAACACAGATGAACTTGGGTTCAATGTGATTCTTCATGTGACCACAATCATTAATTCATAGTAATGCCAATTAGGAAATATTCTTTACTCAGTGCCCCAGCATACCGCGTGATTTCTTGTGACCTTGGCAAAATGTGTGCCTCACCACAACTGTGAATTATGCAGGAGTTAAAGGCCTCATGGACAGAATCTTGCTCATACATGCAAATCTGCCCAGGGCATCAACCTCCCCACTTACAAATAGACAGCCCAGTCAGAAAATAGTCAAGTTTCTCCTAAATGAGTTTCAAAAGCCCCAAGACAAATGAGCAAAACCGGGCATGCCACAAGGCATCTTTGGATAATTTCATTCACTGGTTTCCTCCTTGCTATATATTAGATTGTATCTCATAAGCGTTGTTTTAAGTGGCCCTAAATGACTCTGCCTTCTGCACTGGCTTGTTATATATAGAACCTGCCTGCCTAAGGCATGGGCACACAGAGTCATGGTTTTTAATCCTGATTCAACCTCGGAGCTGGTCTAGTAAATCATTCTTCCCTGGAGATTAATACAGGGCTGCAAAGGCATTGTCCTTGCAGTGTGTTTAAGCCAGGGAAGAGTGAGTTGTGTCTAGATGTGAGGATTCAGAGTCCAGAGCTGAATGGGGGAGGGGAGGGGATGCAATGCCACATTTTTTTTTTCCTGCCCCTCTACCCCTGTTACATGCCAGCACATGCCATAGCTGTTCGTAGTCCTTTTTGCTTCAGAAGGTGGGCTTGCCCTGGTTGGCTCCTTCAAGTGCTTTGCTATGGCCAGAGACTGGGGACAGGGAAGTGAGAGGGGAGCCACGGGGGTGCGGTGCTGAGCAGCCGCGATGGGTCCAGCCTGTTGGTGATGTGTAGAGTCTACTGCCACTCTGGGCATGGGTAACCCGCAGCCCCAGCAGTCGCACTATCTCACAGGTACAAGAAATCCGGATCCGGGATCCTCTGCAGCACCCAGCTCGTGGAAGCGCACAGGCCGGCTCCCGCGCGCCGCCGAGTTTCGGGCTGGGGGCTGAAACCTGCAGATCACTGCGGCTGGCAGCAGGGGACAGATTCTTCCCAGCCAGGTTCTCTCTAACCCAGCGGAGACCGGAGATGTTCGCGGAGCCAGGAGGCTGTCTGCGGAGCATTGGTGCAGCCTTGCCTGCTGCCCGGGAGGTTTGGCTGCCGCAGTCCTCCCCATTCACTGGGCTGTAAATCGAAGCTGTCTACGCGGGCCAGGCGCTCGATCCCAGTGTGGCCCCGGGGCTTCGTCCCGCCCAGGTCTCTGGGCACCTGATTTCCCAGTGGTCAATTAGGTGGCTCAGCCTGCAGCATTGAAGCAGTGGAGGGGCCAATGCCCCTGCTTTGATGGAGCGCGCCGTGCGCAGAGACCTCCCCAGTCGACTTCCTCATCAGAAGGCAGCATCCATTCATAATTCTCTCCCTGCCTGTGGACCGAGTTAGACTGGAATTGGGCATGGATTTCTGCGATCTCTCTTCTTGCATCTGAAGGAGAAACTAAGATAAAAGAAAAAGAAAAAGAAAAAAGGAAGGGGGAATGCGGTCGTAACGCACCAAGGTGCTGGAAAGACCCCCCTCCCGCCCCCGAGAGGCCTCTCCTTTGCGGGGGAGAGGGAGACGAGGCAGATCCCCAGCCCAGCGCCCCAGCCAGCTGCTGTTTCGCTGCGGAGCCGGCACGCATGCCTACCTCACCTGACGGCCGCATTCCCGGGGAACCGGCACGGGGCCCGGCGGCGCGCCCAGGGCGCACGGCCGGTAGGATTTCTGCACCTGGTGAAAGATGCGCGGGCGGCTTGCCCAGGGCCGAGCCCGAGCCTGAGCGGACGCCGGGGGAGGCTAGCCTTGGCACGGCACCCCACCGCAACCCCCCGGGATGCTCCATGACTCGCAGCCCAGGCCATGCTGGTGTGTGAGAGAGGGGACCAGCTTGGGGAGGTGGTGGTGGTGGAGGGAAGGGGTTTGGGCAATTGACATGATTTTAAACTAATTTTTCGCACCTCTGGGTTGTGGGTGAACTTGGGGGTGGAGGAGGCATGGACGGCAGCCCAGCCGCGCGCTAGCTGGAGAGGAAATCCTCGCAGCTGGCTGAGGTCTGAGAGAGCCTGGTCCCCTTGGAAGAGAGCTGAATGAGGATGAGCGGGCGATCAAGGTGGACCATACATAGCTTGGAGGGACAAATTGAATCGTGTTGGTTTTCGAAGGACATTTATTTTTATTTTTTAAAAAGCATATTGCAGCTGCAGCTTTGAAGTTTGCCGCCGCCTCCCCACCCCCTACCCCCATCTCGGGTTTTGGGGCGGGGCGCCACTTTCCCAAGCTGCTGTCCAGACCCTTAGCAGCTGGGTGGAGGGGTCTGCAAAGGCTGCAGAATCTGGTGTTGGGCTGCTTGAAGGGGACATGGGGACTCGAGGGAACTGTGCTTGGAAGAGCGCCCCAGGCTTGGCCTTGGGGGAGGGTGCTCTAACCGCTGAGAGAAGTAGGGGATCCCGCTTGGGGGTCTCTCCTGTTTTTCTGCTTTGCTACTTAATGTTGGGTGACATTTTGCCTGTGCAGGGGTTTCACTGTCATGGAGCTGTGACGCTTGAAGGCAGAGGAACTGTTAGAATGGGTTGGAGGAAACAACCAGAGACATGGAGCTTTTCAGTTTGTGGCAGTGTTAACCATTCGATTCTGCTCCCTTGGCATACTTGTCCCAGGAGGTCACTATCCATGACCATAAGTATGGCTGCCTGGCTGATTAGCCTTGCCGGCTGGTGAGCCAAAGCTGGACCAAGCCAGAAATGCATTTGCAATAAAAGAGCAAAGCCCCACTGGCCTCCCTCAGGGGAAGACTAGGCAGACCTGGCCATTGTGGAATAGTGTTCTGTCATAGCATGATATGCTCTTGAGTTTGGAAGCTCTTGTTTTATGGGTTTTCTATTTTGCAGTTGTGTGCCCCTCGGTCACCAGTTTGTTTTTCACAGCTGCATGTGAGCAAGGCAAAGATAACAGCATCTAAAAATAGCCCTGCGGCTGGAGATGGAGCTTGCTTTGACCCCATCATTCCAGGGCTGGGGTCTCCCTTCCCAGTTGCCTGGTGGGATCCAAACTTGTACTGCCAGACAACCTGAGAGTGAAGCCATGCAAGCTTCAGGCTGAGCTTCAGGCTGGGAGACTGGAGTGCTGGTCTGTGTGAAAGGGCAGCAGCTCTGCCGAGCCTCATCCCTTCCTTTGGGAGACCCAGAGCAACTGGGCTGCAGGATTGGAGGATGGGAATCTGGAAAGAGATCCCTTCCCTGCCCCCATTCTTGGACATTTGGGCTTTATATTCCCTCTGAGTTGCACCCAGCATTATACATGGGGCTTCCTACTCTGTGTTTCAGGAGCCAGCAGGCCACTCCCCCCACCTTAAAGGGCTGTTAATAAAGGAGACCAACGGGTTCAGGTAGCACTTAAATCATGCCAGCTTCATAGTGTAGCCAGGGTACCTACCACTCCTTTCTTTCTTGGTGTGCTAGAGGTTCTCAGCCTACCTGAAGGGCTCTGCCTTCAGCTAATGGGGCAGGGGGCACATGGAATAGATGCAGAAAGGAACTGAAGAATTTTCAGTCATGGTGGCAGGTAACAGGAAGCCCAGGTCCTCTTCTAGGAATCCTAGATCTTCTGACCCTGTTGGGCCTCCCCCACTATTTATTTCCAAAAACCTCCATTTCTTCCATGTTCAGTTTTCTTTGGTGCAATGGTTAGCACATTCCAGTTCTACACAATATGGATTCTGTATTCCTAATTTGAATGAATAATGGTGATTATTTTTGCAAGAATTTTCTGGTAATTGCTGAAAAATGTAAGTGGCTATTTATGTACAGCAAAAGAAACAAAGTATAAAGCAAAGGTGTGAATATTCAGCACTGACTCTGGATTGGAGCCAGAACCTCTCAGGCAATTTCTCTCTTTTCTTTCAAAGTGAATGTTGATTTTTGAAACTTTACCTTAATTTTCTGTAGGTCACAACTGTAACCCTTGGGAAATATTAAAATATCGATCATGATCTAGAGGATGAGACCAGACAACAGAACACCTGAGAAATCCATCCTCCTTCTAGTCTTCTCATAGAATATTGCCAATAACAACTCAACTGGTTCCTCTTAAACATTGCTCTCATGTTTAACTCCCCAAAGAAACATTGGACAAATGACAATTCAATGAAGCCCAGTGGCCCAGTGTGGGAGCAGCCTCCTTTGATCAGCTTAGAAGAGTAGAGGCTAAGACTTAGAAGCTTAGGAGACTTCCACTTCGAATTCAGATTTCCCAAGTCCAAAGCATTGGTTTGGCTTAACCTGTAACAAATAAGATGTCAATGATCCCTTGGTCTTAGGCTGAATGTCAGTTTCCTCTTGAAATTAGAACCTGAATTAGCAGTTAACTAGGGGCCCAAAAAGAGCATATCATTCAAGGAAGGCACCATATAAACCCTAAACCCCAAACAGATAACACAACATTCTTATACAAAGACTAATCACCTTTGGGGTTTGCTGTGATAAGTAGCCCAATCATATTCCCTCTTGTGCCTTTCCCATTCTCTGGAGACTCGGAGTCCATGCTGGGTCCTCTGCTCATGTCAGCAAGAGAAGAAAATGAGATTGCAGAAGATTGCACTGGAAGGAGCACTTGTCATTCACGTCCATGGCCAGAACCCAATCACATGGCCACATCTAACTGCTAGGGGCCTAGGAGGTATAGACTGGGCATTCTATGCATAGTTAATATATGCACTTGCATAAGGAATTCCCTTTCCCCCACCACCTCTGCTTTGGTGTTTTTAGTTTGACCAAATTCAGTTCAGATCTCCATCTTAAAATAGATGACAATTCTACATCACCCCTTCCATGTCAAAGAGATTTGGAAAGGTGTAGAAACAAAAGGCTCTCAAATGGACTATATGGTTCAGCCTCTGTAGGCAAAGTTCCAGTCGTTAGTCCCATCTTCTAGATAACTTTTCCAGCACTGTGTAGTGAGTTTAAAACAGGACTGCAGAAGGAGCTTAGATCCACATTTCTTGGCTCACACTCTTTCCACCATGCCATTCTGACCCTGCCCTCTTAAGAGAGCAATTATATAGGATATAGTTTCTGAAAGCTGGCATCCTTTCCTAGTGTGTAGTCACTAAAAGAGCTATTTATATGATTTAAAATCCACGTACATTTCTTCCCAATTCCTACAGTACAGTCATTTACAGTCAGGCAAAGAATAACCAGACATTTATCTATGCTCTCTACATATATTAGTTCATTCAGTCCTCATAATAATCTTAGGAAGTAGGAAGTGTTATGACCCCCATTTACAGGTGAGGAAATGGAGGCGTGAAAGACTGGGTGACTTCCCAGAGTTGTTTTGGTTAATAGTGACAGATGGAAAGTCTGATTCTGAGCCACACAGCTCTGGTTTCTTTTACTATGTGTCCTCTCTGATTTGGTGGATTTCTTGTCCAGTCCTTTCTAGGGTATATAATTGGCATAGACCATGATACCCAACTTTAATATTCTTAGTCTCATCTTTTAGTGAGTGACGTTGAAAGTGGTAGCAGGAAGTTACTACAAATTTTCTGAACTGGGGTTCTGAGCTCCAAGCCTATGAAATTAACACAAGGTATTGAACTTACAGAAGCCCAACCTAATGAGACCCATCTGCCTGCCTGCCTCACTTCCTTCCTTCCTTCCTTCCTTCCTTCCTTCCTTCCTTCCTTTTCTCCTTCCCCTCCCTCCTTCTCCTTTCTCTCCTTCCTCCCTCCCTGTCTTCCTCCCTTCCTTTCCTTTCCACAGTTTTGATCTAGTCATTATTGTGTATGTAGTGACTATTGCTAGAGAACCCAAAGCGTGTTTATTTGTGAGAAGTGACCATTTAATGAGAAAAGACTGCTGTGATGTTGAAGGGTGGTGAGTGGACATGGTAGGGTGGGTACTTGACCTTGAGATTGCTACTATTTGCTACTATTCTTTTTACTGTTGCATGGGAAACCACCCCAAGCTTTATTGGCTTGAGCAATAGCTACTTATCTGTTGGTGTTGAATTCTGCATTCTGGGATGAACTTAGCTAGCCATTCTGGCTAGGCATTCAAGTGACAGGTCAGGTGGCATGTCACCTGAGGGCTCGATTCCCCATGAGATGTCCAGATGACTATGCTTCTGTCCCCCTTTCTATGCAGTTTCAGGGATTCTCACTCCCCACCTGATTCTCCTGCAGGGTAACTGGATGACAACCTGAATGCTCAGGCTCCCCAAGAATATAGAGACTGCTAGGCCTTCTGATTGAGCACATGGCTAGTTTTGCTAATGGAAAGAAGCAAGTCCCAGATTCAGGAGTAGGAACTAATTGAGGTCATAAATACCAGGGACATGGAAACAGATTGCCACAGAGGTGAACCTCTGGGTTTATAAATTGAAGGTTTCCCAAAGGTCTCAGGAAGAGTTTACTGTATATTGCGAAATATGTAAAATAAAATCCATTCATTCTACTCAATGAAGCAAGACTATTATACATGCTTGGTTCTTTCTCCATCCTCAAACTAATTAACCATTTATACCCCAAAAGAGCACAGAAGCCTGAAGAACAGAACTGAAGTGACGCCTACTCTCTTGCATCCTTTCATGTAGTATCTCAAAGATATCCATTTTAAAAGACACAGCAGGGACCTAGAGAGAAGGTTTGCAGGTTAAGAGCACTTGCTGCTCTTGTAGAGGACCTGGGTTCAGTTGCTAGCACCTGTATAGATAGAGACACATCATCTACTGTAACTCCAGTTCCAAGTGATCCAATGCCATCTCCTGGCTTTGCAGGTATCTGCCCATATGGAGTGCACATGTATGCAGTCAGGAACACACATATAGGCATGAAATATATAATTTTTATTATCCAATTTTTTTCATAC